TCCGCAGTCTCTGCTCATCTCCTGTACTGTGTCCGCAGTCTCTGCTCATCTCCTGTACTGTGTCCGCAGTCTCTGGTCATCTCCTGTACTGTGTCCGCAGTCTCTGGTCATCTCCTGTACTGTGTCCGCAGTCTCTGCTCATCTCCTGTACTGTGTCCGCAGTCTCTGGTCATCTCCTGTACTGTGTCCGCAGTCTCTGGTCATCTCCTGTACTGTGTCCGCAGTCTCTGGTCATCTCCTGTACTATGTCTGTCTCTGGTCATCTCCTGTACTGTGTCCAGTCTCTGGTCATCTCTTGTACTGTGTCCGCAGTCTCTGGTCATCTCCTGTACTGTGTCCGCAGTCTCTGGTCATCTCCTGTACTGTGTCCGCAGTCTCTGGTCATCTCCTGTACTGTGTCCGCAGTCTCTGGTCATCTCCTGTACTGTGTCCGCAGTCTCTGGTCATCTCCTGTACTGTGTCCAGTCTCTGGTCATCTTTTGTACTGTGTCCGCAGTCTCTGGTCATCTCCTGTACTGTGTCCGCAGTCTCTGGTCATCTCCTGTACTGTGTCCGCAGTCTCTGGTCCTCTCCTGTACCGTGTCCGCAGTCTCTGGTTTAGTTTAAGCCAGGGGTGTCAAACTGGCGGCTCTCCAGTTGTTGCGAAACTACAAGTTCCATCATGCCTCTGCCTTTGGGAGTCATGCTTGCAACTGTCAATCTTGCAATACCTCATGGGACTTGCAGTTTGGCAACAGCTGGAGGGCCGCCAGTTGCCAGTTTGACACCCGTGCTTCAAGCAATGAAAAACGACTGCCCCTTTTACAGCGGTACTTTTTGGATTTTTTTTTTTTTGCACTAATTCAAATTAGTGCAAAAAAAGAAAACATCCAAAAAGTTCCCAGCCTTCCAAATGGGACTGAAATCATTAGCTGCCCCAAAACATAGTTGCTGTCAGTGTAAATACTGACTCTTTCGTCCCTTGATAAATCACAGGCTTTTGATAAAGAGTAGAGGCTGCGGAGGAGAGAGACTCTAAAAATATTCCTCCTGAGCCATTTGCAATAGAATAGCCCATATGGGCAGGGCCATCTTAATGAGTGGGCATACTTGAGCACTGCCTAGGGATCCCATAATCAGAGCTAGGAGAAGAGGGGGCCAAGTGCTGTGTTGGTGTGGGGTGGGGGGTGCACTGTCGATTTGGTCGCTTGTGCCGCTCTTTGACAAGAGTAACTGGTATGTCACTCCTGTCAGAAAAAAGCAATGGCTGGCTGATGCTGGAGAGGGGAGTCAGCTTTCTCCTCCCTCCTGCAGGGGTGGAAGAGAGCCGGCACTGAGACTGAGAAGAACCCATCACAGTCTCAGATGGGAGGAAAGTAAGGAGCTGCCTTAACTGCAAATGAGGGCAGCACTTGTTTTCTGTGAGTGGGCACAACTCTGATGTATGGGGACACTGTAATGATGACGCTATATGTATATGTACACTGTGATGGAGACAATGTATGGGGACATCTGATGTATGGGGACACTGTAATGGATGGGGATTCCTGACAGATGGGGATATCTGATGGATGAGACTCCGTGATGGGGGTACCTGATGGATGAAAAAACTGTGATAGGACCACTTGATGGATAGAGACACTATGGTGGGGCCACCTGATGTATGGGGGCACTGTAATGGAGATACCTGATGGAAGGGGAAACTGTGATGGGACCTCTTGATGTATGGGAACACCTGATGCATGGGGACGCTGTGATATAATCACCTCATGTATGGCAACCTTGTGATGGGCCCACCTGATGTATGGGGACACTGTGATGGGGCCACCTGATGGATAGGGAAACTGTGATGGGGAATCCTGAAGGATGGGACACTGATGAGGACACCTCATGGATGAGGACACTGTGATTGGGACCACCTCATGTATGGGGACACCTGATGGATAGGGACACTGTAATGGAGTCACCTGATGGATAGAGACACTGTGATGGAGTTACCTGATGTATGGGGACCATGTGATGGGGCCACCTGATGTATGGGGACACTCTGATGGGGACAGCTGATGTATGGGGACACTATGATGTGGACAGTTGATGGATGGTTACACTGTGATGGATGGAGACTCCTGATGGATGGGGACACCTGATGTAAGGTGAAACTATGATGTGGACAGCTGATGGATGGGGACACTGTGATGGGGATATCTGGAGGAGGCACTGTGATGGGGACACCAGATGGAAGGGGAAACCATAATGGGACCACCTGATGGAAGGGGAAACTATGATGGGACCACCTGATGGAAGGGGCCACCTGATGTATGGGGACACTTGATGGGGTCACCTGATGGATAGGGACACTGTGATGAAGACATCTAATGCATGGGACATTGTGATGGGGACACTTTAAGGATGGGGACACTGTCAAGGGCACACTTTGATAGATGGGGACTCCTGATGTATGGGGACACTGTGATGGGGATACCTGATGTATAGGGACATAATGGATGGGGACATTGTGATGGATGGGGACTCCTGATGGATGGGGACACTGTGATGGGGTCACCTGATAGATGGGGACACTGTGATGGGGACACTGTGGTGGGGCCACCCGATGGATGGGGACACTGTAATGGAGCCACCTGATGGATGGAGACAGAGACACTGTGATGGGGTCACCTGATGGATGGGGACACTATGATGGGGACACCTTATGGATGGGGACACTAAGATGGTGACACCTGATGGATGGTACCAATGTGATTGGGACGCTGTGACAGGGACACCTGTTTGGGGACACTGTAAAGGGGACACCTGATGTTTGGGGACACTGTGCTGGGGACACCTGATGTATGAGGACGCTGATGGGGACACATCATGGACAGGAACACTGTGATGGGGACACCTGATGTAAGAGGACACTGTGATGGATGGGGACACTGATGGGGGCACCTGATGGATGGGGACACTTGATATAAGGGGACACTGTGATGGGGACACCTGTTGCAGGCTGGTAGGGGCCCGAGTGCATTACTTCACCAAGGAGCCCATGAGTCTGGATCATGTACAAAAAGTTTACAATCTAAGTCTACAAATGGCTGTTCTAAGACTGGGCTTACATCTGCAGACTCCTGAAGCAGACTTATACCACCACTGGCCCTTCCCTTATATTACTGATGAAAGCTAGGGAAACTGTCAGACTACGTGTGCCATAAGACCAGTTGTGTGCGCCAGGTCATCAGGATGGATTTATGAGACACATTTTTAAGAATTTTTACTTTTTTATTAAAGGACTTGTCAAACGTTTGGGTGTCCTAATTTCTAGGTTACAATTTTTTTGGTAAGGTAAACCTGTTGAAATACTTTTCCTATCACTCGAGGCTGCTGCTAAGGAATCCTGTATAAGGAGGAGCACAGCCCTTTGCGGTCTACCGCACCATTGTTTCTATGTTTTTATCAGATGATGGGGGATCTAGGTGGATCCTCCGTACTGCTCTCTCCTTTACAATAAAGTCTCCTCTTACCCGGTGATGTGAGGGGTGGCTGATTGTCCATCATGACGTCCTTGGAAGAGATCTGCTTGTATGATTTTGAGAAGCTCCTTCATCACATCATGTTCCTCATCCCCTTCTTCAAACTATTTTAGCAACCGTGTTATAACCCCCAAGGTTTCCACCCTGAGTATTTAATAAGGCATTAATTGTAACAAACTACTTGTGCATAATCCATAACTATCAGTAATTGTTCATCACCTACCTGATGATGGTGAGGGATGTTGTGATCTTCCGTGAGAAATCCCGAGAATACAGAGGGCGGGGTCATCTCTCTGGTAGATTTCTGGTACTAGATCCATCTGTAGGAGGAGTGCAGCCCTGATACTGCCTACCGCTAGCCTTTAGATGCTGCTGCCACTGAGTTGCATGGTGAGAAGCCATGTGTCTCGTCATACACGTGGTACCTAAATGGCTGACGTTGTTGCCACGCTTGACACGCTTTAGGCAGACGCTGCAAATGACTACGGTGCGGTCTTCAGCACAGGTGGTGAAAAAGGTCCACACGGCTGAGCTCTGGAGATTGGACCGGGGGATAACCATGGCCTGTACCTGTGGAGTTCTGCCATCCGGTGTAATAGGACATCTGTTCTCTCTGGTACAGTTGGAGACCTCATCATCATCCCCCGCTTCCTCATCACTGGGGCCAACTTGGTAGCAAGCTGCAGGAACACCCGGGAAAAATGGTTCTCCCTGCCCGTTGTTCCCTACCACTATGCTCCTCATGCTCACATCCATAACCTCTGATATAATTAATTGCTGCAGATTGTCGTTCAGCAAGTGACTGGCTCTGTGCTCAAATAACTGCTGGGAGGGAATCCTGTACAGCGGGGAGAGGTGGAAAGGGGGCAGCTGGAAGGAGGACGGTGAATGCGGCCCTTTTGCTGCCAACCGCTAGCCTGCAGGTGCTGCTCCCACTGAGTTGTGTGATAAGCACGCATATGTCTGTTCATACATGTGGTACCCAAATGGCTGATGCTATTGCCACGCTTGAGGCGCTTCTGACATAGACTGCAAATGACGGCGGTGCGGTCCTCAGTGCATGTGTTGAAAAAGGCCCACACAGCTGAAGTTTGCGGAGAAGACCGGGGGATACCGGTAGCTTGCACCTTCGGAGTTCTGCCATCCGGTGGAATAAGGCGTGTGCTTTCTCCACTCCTCTGTGAGCTGCCCCTGGATGACATCTTGCCTCGCTGATCATCTGCCTCTCGCTTCTGACTCTACTATATTTGGTACCCAGGTAGGGTCAGAGATCTCACCATTATCCCCTACCTCCTCATCACTGAGGCCAACTTGGCAACCAGCTGCAGGAACATCCGGGACAACTGGGTCTCCCTGCCCTCCTACTATGCTACCGTTGCTCTCCTCCCTAACCCCAGATGCAAATAATTGCTGAATATACTCTTTCACATAGTAGCCGGAGCTGTGTTGATATAACTCAGCTGACTCCTCCATGCCAGTTTGCTGGGCAAAGACTTCACCCTCAACTTTCATCTTCATCAGATCTTCACCCTAAACCAACAGAATGGCAGAAATAACATCTGTAATATAGAAGGATTTATTATGTGAGATCACATAGAAAATATCATCTTGTAGAGTCCACACATCGTCTCCACATGTCAGTGTTTCATCACTTTATGTTCCAGACCCTCAACTCCACCAACCTGATGATGGTGAGGGATGGTGTGACCTTCCTGTGTGGAATCCCGGGAATACAGAGGATGGGGACATCTCTCTGGTGGGTTCCCATTACTGGATCCATCTACCTGATGATGGTGAGGGATGGTGTGACCTTCCTGTATGGAATCCCAGGAATACAGAGGACGGGGACATCTCTCTGGTGGGTTCCCATGACTGGATCCATCTGTAGGAAACACACACACTGACTGAATCCATTGTTTCTATGTGTTTATCAGATGATGGGGGATCTAGGTGGATCCTCCGTACTGCTCTCTCCTTTACAATAAAGTCTCCTCTTACCCGGTGATGTGAGGGGCAGCTGAATGGCCATCATGACGTCCTTGTACGCTTTTGAAAGCTCCTTCATCACACCATAATGCTCATCCTCTTCCTTAAACTCTTCTTTAACAACAATATTATAATCCCCAGGGTTTTCTCTCTGAACATATAATAAACATTCATTGCAACAAACATGCCGCTTGTAAATCATAACTACCAATAATTGTTGATAATCTACCTGATGATGGTGAGGGATGGTGTGACCTTCCTGTGTGGAATCCAGAGAATACAGAGGACGGGGACATCTCTCTGGTTGGTTCCTGTAGCTGGATGACTCCACCATGGTGTCCTGGTACAGATCTTTGTGAACATTTAAAAACTCTGACTCCTCCATCACCCCATCCTCATCATCCTCCTCTTTTATCTCTTTTTTAATATCAGCTTTAGAGTCTCTCAGGTTTCCACTCTGAATACATAAAATGCCATCAATGGTAACAATGCAGATAATGTACAGATCCTAATGATACTATCAGTGATTGTTCCTCATCTACCTGATGGTGAGGGATGGTGTGACCTTTCTGTGTGGAATCCCGGGAATACAGAGGACAGGGACATCTCTCTGGTGGGTTCCCATTACTGGATCCATCTACCTGCTGATGGTGAGGGATGGAGTGACCTTCCTGTGTGGAATCCCGGGAATACAGAGGACGGGGACATCTCTCTGGTGGGTTCCCATGACTGGATCCATCTGTAGGAAACACACACACTGACTGAATCCATTGTTTCTATGTGTTTATCAGATGATGGGGGATCTAGGTGGATCCTCCGTACTGCTCTCTCCTTTACAATAAAGTCTCCTCTTACCCGGTGATGTGAGGGGCAGGCTGATTGTCCATCATGACGTCCTTGTAGAGATCCTTGTGTCCTTCTAAATACTCCCACTCCTCCATGGAGAAATAGACAGTGACACCCTGACACCTTATAGGAACCTGACACACACAATGATACAGTCACCATCCAGACACATCCCTTGTCTGTTACTGGAGAATGTCCCAGAATTCCCGGCACCGCTCACCTCTCCTGTCAGCAGCTCCATCATCTTCTTGGTGACTTCTAGAATCTTCTGCATGTCGTGTCTCTCAGGTTTTAGGGAGTCACATGGAGGCACTGTGATGGTCATATGATCACCTGACTTCACAAGATGAAAACTCTGTATTGGAAAAACCAAGAGGAATATCATGTTGGAATCATCCTCACAGGTCTTTGTTTTAATAATAGAGATAAGAGTTGTAGGGATCTTCTGTCCTCTACTGTCCGAATTTGTAGATAGCTCTGCTGTTTATCTCAGACTTTACACACACACAGGAGTTGCTGCGGCTGCTTCTGTATTCTCACCAAGACCAGAAGCAAAGGTTATTGGGCAAGTATTTCTATGTTTCAATTGTTTAACTGCAGCTACCCACAACTTCTTGAGTATGTATCTGAATCCTTGAGACAGACTGAGTATATCTGTCCTATTGTTTAGTAACTCACATGCACAGTGCAAGAGAGCTAGGTCTGTGCTACTGTATGTGTGTAGTGGTCACCTTCCAGTATATTAGCAGGTGAACCTGTTTATTGCAAGAGTTAATATGCAGCTGGGCGGCACAGTGGCTTAGTGGTTAGCACTTCTGCCTTGCAGTAATTGGGTCATGGGTTTGATTCCCAACCATGGCGCTTCCTGCATGGAGTTTGCATGTTCTCCCTGTGTTCATGTGGGTTTCCTCCGGGTACTCCGGTTTCCTCCCACACTCCAAAGACATGCTGGTAGGTTGATTGGCTCCTGTCTAAATTGTCCTACTTTCATCCCTGGCCATGTGGGATCTCCTGCATGGTAGGCGTTGGGGAAAGACCTGGCAACCTACCCTGTAAAATAATTGCTAAGAGAATTCATGGAAAAAGTCACTTACAAGTGATAGTCCATACGACTGAATGAATAGATAGAATATGCAGCTCCTGTTATTTTAGTTAAACCTGTCCCATCTAGTCTGGGGTTCTATACCTAGTTTCAGCTAGGGCTCTATAACCAGCTTAGGCTAGAGCCAGGTTTGGCATCCAATGACCACTTTTCTAGTTAGAGTTCCAGTTGCATGTCAGATTAGGAGCTACTAGGGACTAAGACTCAGCGTAGACAGGCTGTATCTGAGTTCCAGTGCCACACCACAGTTTCTGCTTGTGAGAGGCTATATTCCAGGCTGGTTGGACAATGGCTGGAGGATCACCCGATCAACGCTACTCTTGCCTCTAGGTCCAAATCAGGATTATCCTTGGTGGCCCCTAAAACTGAAATTCGCTGCAACATTCATCTGGAGGTATCTCTGTTAATGACTTTATATACCCGGGTGTATGTGCACAGTTCCACCAGGACTCTCGTTGGACCCTTTGCTGATAACACCTGTTTGTATATGTATGTACTGTTATTAATCTTTTATTATATAAAAGTTTATAATACTTCCATACTGGTGTTCATCTACACTGCTCAACAAAATGAAAGGAAGACTTTGAAAACACATCAGATCTCAATGGGGATAAAATCTCCTGCTGGATCTCTATACTGACATGGACGGGGTAATGTGTTAGGAATGTAAGGACGCCCCATCGTTTGATGGAAATGAAAATGATCGACCTACAGAGGACTGAATTCAAAGACACCCCGAAAATCAAAGTGAAAAAATGATGCAGCAGGCGAGTCCATTTTGCTGAAATGTCATTGCAGCAACTCAGAATGGTCCTCAGTAGTTTGTATGGCCCCCAAGTGCTTGTATGCATGCCCGACAACGTCAGGGGATGCTCCTAATGAGACGACAAATGGTGCTCTGGGGGATTTCCTCCCAGATCTGAACCAGGGCATCACTGAGCTCCTGGACAGTCTGAGGTGCAACCTGGTGGCGTCAGATGGACCGAAACATGACATCCCAGAGGTGTTCTATTGGATTCAGGTCAGGAGAACGTGTGGGGCCATTCAATGGTAGCAATTCCTTCATCCTCCTGGAACTGCCTGCATACTCTCCCCACGAGGCTGGGGCATTGTCATGCACCAGGAGGAATCCCAGGGCCCACGGCACCAGCGTAGGGTCTGACAATGGGTCCAAGGATTTCATCCCGATCCCCAATGGCAGTCAGGGTGCCATTGTCTAGCCTGTAGAGGTCTGTGTGTCCCTCCATGGATATGCCTCCCCAGACCATCACTGACCCACCACCAAAACAGTCATACTGAATGCTGTTACAGACAGCAGAACGTTCTCCCATGGCTTCTCCAGACCCTTTCATGTCTGTCACATGTGCTCAGGGTGAACCTGCCTCTCATCTGTGAAAAGCACAGGGGCCCAGTGGTGGACCTGCCAATTCTGGTGTTCAATGGCAAATGTCCAATCCAGCTCTATGGTGCCGGGCAGTGAGCACAGGGCCCACTAGAGGACGTTGGGCCCTCAGGCCACCCTCATGAAGTCTGTTTCTGATTTTCACACCAGTGGCCTGCTGGGGGTCATTTTGTAGGGCTCCTGGCAGGCTCATCCTGTTCCTCCTTGCACAAAGGAGCAGATACCAGTCCTGCTGATGGGATAAGGACCTTCTACAGCCCTGTCCAGCTCTCCTAGAGTAACTGCCTGTCTCCTGGAATCTCCTCCATGCTCTTGAGTCTGTGCTGGGAGACACAGCAAACCTTCTGGCAATGGCACGTATTGATGTGCCATCCTGGAGGAGTTGGACTGCCTGTGCAACCTCTGTAGGGTCCAGGTATGGCCTCATGCTACCAGTAGTGACACTGACCCTAGCCAAATGTGAAACTAGTGAAAAACAGACAGAAAAGATGAGTAGGGAAAAAAATGTCAGTGGCCTCCACCTGTAAAACCATTCCTGTTTTGGGGGTCGTCTCATTGTTGCCCATCTAGTGCACCTGTTGTTAATTTCATTAACCCCAAAGCAGCTGAAACTGATGAACAACCCCCTCTGCTACTTACCTGACCAGATCAATATCCCAGGAGTTTCATGGACTTGATGCTATACTCTGACTACAAAGTCTTCCTTTCATGTTTTTGAGCCGTGTATATACTTATGGTTAATGTTTTATGCTGGTTGCAGTAGTTCCTCTGCTCCCAGTTATTTTACAACTGGATAATTTCCCAGGAAGGGAATCCCCTCTGTTCACAGAGGACCTGTCCTTGGTGGAGGCACTTTCAACTTTATTATCAAACTCACTTTTCCCCTCAGGTTCTCTTATTTACCTACAGGATTAGTGCAATATCCTGTTTGGGGAGGATCATTTCTCCAACCCACCCCCCGGAAAAAAAAAGAAGGCTACAGAGTGATCCCCCAGAATCCTCCACACCTCTCTCCGGTCAGATCTGTGTTATATTCATAGAGATGAGCGATGTCATGTGACCTCCCAGAATCCTCCTCACCTCTCCGGTCAGGTCTGCGTTTTATTAATAGAGATAGGAGTGATGTCATGTGACCTCCCAGAATCCTCCTCACCTCTCCGGTCAGGTCTGCGTTTTATTAATAGAGATAGAGAGTGATGTCATGTGACCTCCCAGAATCCTCCTCACCTCTCCGGTCAGGTCTGCGTTTTATTAATAGAGATAGGAGTGATGTCATGTGACCTCCCAGAATCCTCCTCACCTCTCCGGTCAGGTCTGCGTTTTATTAATAGAGATAGGAGTGACGTCATGTGACCTCCCAGAATCCTCCTCACCTCTCCGGTCAGGTCTGCGTTTTATTAATAGACATAGGAGTGACGTCATGTGACCTCCCAGAATCCTCCTCACCTCTCCGGTCAGGTCTGCGTTTTATTAATAGACATAGAGTGAGTCATGTGACCTCACGTGACCTCCCGGTCAGGTCAGAGATAGGAGTGATGTCATCCTCCTCACCTCTCCGGTCAGGTCTGCGTTTTATTAATAGACATAGGAGTGACGTCATGTGACCTCCCAGAATCCTCCTCACCTCTCCGGTCAGGTCTGCGTTTTATTAATAGAGATAGGATGATGTCATGTGACCTCCCAGAATCCTCCTCACCTCTCCGGTCAGGTCTGCGTTTTATTAATAGAGATAGGAGTGATGTCATGTGACCTCCCAGAATCCTCCTCACCTCTCCGGTCAGGTCTGCGTTTTATTAATAGAGATGGAGTGAGGTCATGTGACCTCCCAGAATCCTCCTCACCTCTCCGGTCAGGTCTGCGTTTTATTAATAGAGATAGGAGTGATGTCATGTGACCTCCCAGAATCCTCCTCACCTCTCCGGTCAGGTCTGTGTTTTATTAATAGAGATAAGAGTGATGTCATGTGACCTCCCAGAATCCTCCTCACCTCTCCGGTCAGGTCTGTGTTTTATTAATAGAGAGAAGAGTGACCTCACCTCTCACCTCTCCGTCAGCAGGTAGATGATCTCCAGGGTGAGGTTTAGTATCTTCTCAGTCATGTGACTCCGGTCCTCCTCCATCCTCATTGATGTGGTCATGTGATCTATGCAGGGTTCTCTGTAGACAGGCAGCGGAGAATTATCTGGACGGTTGTACAATATAACAGGGATAACAGGGGTAATAGGTGGGCTGCCCCCAGTAGGACATGTAGATCGGGGTACTTTGTATTTGCTGGGTTTCTTGCACCCTCGGTATATCCTGTCCTACCTGCCTTATCAAAAATGACATTTTTCCAGGTAAAATGTGTTTGAACTATTTTTGCTCAGTTTTAGGAGGGTCCTTCTCACAGCTTTGAGGAGAACACGGGGAATACACAAATCACTTACATGATGGGTTTGGAGGAAGCCTTACATGTATGTTGTGTACAGGAACCCACATGAATTTCAGGGACGGCAGCAGTATACTCAGACAAGGCGTACTTTGGCTGTGGAATACAGTTAGCTTTGTCTACAGAGGGCAGCACCCCAATCTAGGAGTATACCACTCAATCCAGCAAACAAGAGGCCTTCTTCCTTTCCTCTGATTGGAGACAATCGGGTTTGTATGAAGAGCAAACAGACTCCTATGCAGAGTCAGAATCTGCAGACTGCACCGGGTATGTCCCCAAACCCAGAGGGGGGTCTGATTACATGGCGTCCTCTCCTCCTGGTCACAGCTCTCACTATGATTACTCACAGGCTTCAGTACTCACAATGCTCCCAAGTACTCACCATCCTCCATACTCACAATACTCCCAGTTACTCTCAGTACTCACCGCCCTCCATACTCACAATACTCCCACTTACTCTCAGTACTCACCGCCCTCCATACTCACAATACTCCCAGTTACTCTCAGTACTCACCGTCCTCCATACTCACAATGCTCCCAGTTACTCTCAGTACTCACCGTCCTCCATACTCACAATACTCCCAGTTACTCTCACTCACCGTCCTCCATACTCACAATACTCCCAGTTACTCACTCACCGTCCTCCATACTCACAATACTCCCACTCTCAGTATACTCCCAGTTACTCTCAGTACTCACTTACTCTCAGTACTCACCGTCCTCCATACTCACAATACTCCCAGTTACTCTCAGTACTCACCATCCTCCATACTCACAATACTCCCAGTTACTCTCAGTACTCACCATCCTCCATACTCACAATACTCCCAGTTACTCTCAGTACTCCCACTTACTCTCAGTACTCACCGTCCTCCATACTCACAATACTGCCAGTTACTCTCAGTACTCACCGTCCTCCATACTCACCGTCCTCCATACTCACAATACTCCCAGTTACTCTCAGTACTCCCACTTACTCTCAGTACTCACCGTCATCCATACTCCATTATACTCCCACTTACTCTCAGTACTCACAATACTCCCACTTACTCTCAGTACTCACAATACTCCCACTTACTCTCAGTACTCACCGTCCTCTATACTCACAATACTCACCAGTTGCTCTCAGTACTCACCGTCCTCTATACTCACAATACTCCCAGTTACTCTCAGTACTCCCACTTACTCTCAGTACTCACTGTCCTCCATACTCACAATACTCCCACTTACTCTCAGTACTCACCATCCTCCATACTCACAGTACTCCCACTTACTCTCAGTACTCCCACTTACTCTCAGTACTCCACTTACTCTCAGTACTCCCACTTACTCTCAGTACTCCCACTTACTCTCAGTACTTACCGTCTTCTATACTCACAATACAACCAGTTACTCTCATACTACTCATTGTCCTCTATACTCACAATACAACCAGTTACTCTCAGTACTCCCAATTATTCCCCTCCTTCAGTACTCACAATACTCCCAAGTACTCACCATTCTCCATACTCACAATACTCCCAGTTACTGTCAGTACTCGTTTTTACTCTCAGTACTCACAGTACTCTCAATTACTCCCCTCCTTCAGAACTCACAATACTCCCAAGTACTCACCGTCCTCCATACTCACAATACTCCCAGTTACTATCAGTACTCCCACTTACTCTCAGTACTCACAGTATTCCCAATTACTCCCCTCTTTCCGTACTCACAGTACTCCCAAGTACTCACCATCCTCCATACTCACAATACTCCCAGTACTCCCGCTTACTCTCAGTACTCCCAATTACTCCCCTCCTTCAGAACTTACAATACTCCCCAAGTATTCACCGTCCTCCATACTCACAATACTCCCAGTTACTCTCAGTACTCCCAATTACTCCCTTCCTTCAGTACTCACAATACTCCCAAATACTCTCAGTACTCACAATTCACCCAATCCTCAGTACTCACAATACTCCCTGTTGCTCTCAGTTCTCACCATTCTCCCAGTCCTCAGTACTCACAATACTTCCAAGTACTCACAGCCCTCAGGTGAATACAGAGATCCAATTCCAGTGAGACCACAGGCAGAAGGAGAGACGGTTAAAGGGAGATGGCGGCTTAAAATTTCTGCATGGTGCTTTCACATGTGACTGCTGCAGACTGTCCAATAAATCTGACTGACATGTACTGTCAAATGACTCTGGAATGTAGGCTGACGTGCTGTGACTGTTTTGTGCCATTTTCCAGGTACAACCAGTAAAGTGCAGCAACCTTATTTACATGTGGACATCCCTTCCTTGGAGATATAAAGGTCAATGCCGGAATGCTGTGTGGGGGCCTTTGGCATGGAGCGGAGCACAAGCTGGCTGAGGGTTCGGCTTCAGCAGGTGGGACAGTATTCTAGCAAAGAAAGGTCGGGGCAGGGACTTTTGGCCCTGTCAGCCAGCCAATTGCAAAGCCCCTTTTACAAGCGTCCATTGTGGCTGGGACTCACAGAGAAGCTTCATGCTCTTGTGCTCCCCAGCAGCCCCCGCATGCCGAATAAAATGTATTTTTGGTATTTTTCAATGGCGCCCTTAAAATAGCAAATGCGATGATTTAGAGGTTGGATGCGTTATAAGATTGCATTTACACTACGGCGTTTTGTGAACATCGCGGGCATTTATAAAATGTACATAACACCCGCGCCACGCTTGCGGCTCCATTCGTTGTCAATAGCATCCAAAACACGAAAAAACCAGAAAAATGTGCAAAGCATGTGTGTAGCGCAACTGTGCGTGACACCTGGAGTCACACGTCACAGTACGAACGGGCCCTAAGGCATGGCGTCGCGCGCCACAGTACGAACGGGCCCCAAGGCATGGCGTCGCGCGCCACAGTACGAACGGGCCCCAAGGCATGGCGTCGCGCGCCACAGTACGAACGGGCCCCAAGGCATGGCGTCGCGCGCCACAGTACGAACGGGCCCCAAGGCATGGCGTCGCGCGCCACAGTACGAACGGGCCCCAAGGCATGGCGTCGCGCGCCACAGTACGAACGGGCCCCAAGGCATGGCGTCGCGCGCCACAGTACGAACGGGCCCCAAGGCATGGCGTCGCGCGCCACAGTACGAACGGGCCCCAAGGCATGGCGTCGCGCGCCACAGTACGAACGGGCCCCAAGGCATGGCGTCGCGCGCCACAGTACGACGAACGGGCCCCAAGGCATGGCGTCGCGCGCCACAGTACGAACGGGCCCCAAGGCAAGGCATGGCGTCGCGCGCCACAGTACGAACGGGCCCCAAGGCATGGCGTCGCGCGCCACAGTACGAACGGGCCCCAAGGCATGGCGTCGCGCGCCACAGTACGAACGGGCCCCAAGGCCTGGCGTCGCGCGCCACAGTACGAACGGGCCCCAAGGCCTGGCGTCGCGCGCCACAGTACGAACGGGCCCCAAGGCCTGGCGCCGCGCGCCACAGTACGAACGGGCCCCATGGCCTGGCGTCGCGCGCCACAGTACGAACGGGCCCCAAGGCCTGGCGTCACGCCACAGTACGAACGGGCCCCAAGGCCTGGCGTCACGCCACACGCCACAGTACGAACGGGCCCCAAGGCCTGGCGTCACACGCCACAGTACGAACGGGCCCCAAGGCCTGGCGTCACACGCCACAGTACGAACGGGCCCCAAGGCCTGGCGTCACACGCCACAGTACGAACGGGCCCCAAGGCCTGGCGTCACACGCCACAGTACGAACGGGCCCCAAGGCCTGGCGTCACGCGCCACGGGCCCCAAGGCCTGGCGTCACACGCCACAGTACGAACGGGCCCCAAGGCCTGGCGTCACACGCCACAGTACGAACGGGCCCCAAGGCCTGGCGTCACGCGCCACAGTACGAACGGGCCCCAAGGCCTGGCGTCGCGCGCCACAGTACGAACGGGCCCCATGGCCTGGCGTCACACGCCACAGTACGAACGGGCCCCAAGGCCTGGCGTCACGCGCCACGGGCCCCAAGGCCTGGCGTCACACGCCACAGTACGAACGGGCCCCAAGGCCTGGCGTCACGCGCCACAGTACGAACGGGCCCAAGGCCTGGCGTCACGCGCCACAGTACGAACGGGCCCCAAGGCCTGGCGCCACGCGCCACAGTACGAACGGGCCCCAAGGCCTAGCGTCACACACCACAGTACGAACGGGCCCCAAGGCCTGGCGTCACACACCCACAGTACGAACGGGCCCCAAGGCCTGGCGTCACGCACCACAGTACGAACGGGCCCCAAGGCCTGGCGTCGCACGCCACAGTACGAACGGGCCCCAAGGCCTGGCGTCGCACGCCACAGTACGAACGGGCCCCAAGGCCTGGCGTCGCGCGCCACAGTACGAACGGGCCCCAAGGCCTGGCGCCACGCGCCACAGTACGAATGGGCCCCAAGGCCTGGCGTCACGCGCCACGGCCCCAAGGCCTGGCGTCACACGCCACAGTACGAACGGGCCCCAAGGCCTGGCGCCCACGCGCCACAGTACGAACGGGCCCCAAGGCCTGGCGTCACGCGCCACAGTACGAACGGGCCCCAAGGCTTGGCGTCGCGCGCCACAGTACGAACGGGCCCCAAGGCTTGGCGTCGCGCGCCACAGTACGAACGGGCCCCAAGGCCTGGCGTCGCACACCACAGTACGAACGGGCCCCAAGGCCTGGCGTCGCACACCCACAGTACGAACGGGCCCCATGGCCTGGCGTCACACGCCACAGTACGAACGGGCCCCAAGGCCTGGCGTCACGCGCCACGGGCCCCAAGGCCTGG